GAGGTTTTTTGTTTTTTAGATGACTTAAACAACAGAAATTTATTTTCTCATATCTTGGAGGTTAGAAGTCCTTAGCTTTTAGATGATCATCTCCTTCAGTTTTCTGAGTTGTTTTTTTTTTTTTATTTCAGCATATTTTGGGGGTACAGATGTTTAGGTTACGTATGTTGCTCTTGTCCCCCACCCCCATGTTTTCTGTGTTTTGTAAAGCATAGAAAGGCCTTCTGCTCTCCAAAATTATTAACAACAAAAAAGTCTTGCATATTTTTCTCTAGAATGTTCATTGGTTTGCTTTTAAACGTGTTTATCTTGGCGTAAGGTGAGTCCTCTTCCTAAGAGGTGGTATTTTCTGGGCACTTGCTGAGAGTTGTGCATTCAACGCTTGGTTGCTTCTGGAGCCCTGTGGAATGGAAGCTATGACAGGCCAAGATGTGCCTAAATGGGGTCCTACAGCCAGGGAGTGATTGGTCCAAGAGCCAACATAATTTTTTCTGTATGGCTATGTAGTCCCAACATGATTTTATTGAATAATTCACCTTGCCTCCACTGATTGATTCTGTTCCCTTTATCACATACTAAATTTCCATGTTAATTTGGATCTATTTTTGACCTTTCTTATTTCTTCCAATGATCTGTTTATGTGTGGGTCCCATACTAATTAATTATTGTAACTTTATACCATGTTATTACACTATTAGGCTAGATAAATTTCTTGTCATTACTTTTCTTTTTCAGCATTATCCTGGCTGTCCTTAATTACTTTTCCCTGTAAATTTTAGCGTCAAGTGTATTAGGGCCCACTCCCAAGCCACTGGTGTTTTATTGGAGGTAGCTTTAAATGTGTTAACTGGGAAGGCATCTTTATGTTGAATCTTCCCACTCAAGAGCATGCTATGTTTTCTAGTCATTGTTTTCTCCCTTGTTAGCATTACCATTATCTTTGTGGGCCTCTTGCACTCTTCTTAGGTTCATCAATAGGTTTTTAAGATTTATTACTCTGGGCCGGGCGCGGTGCCTCACGCCTGTAATCCTAGCTCTCTGGGAGG